AAGCTGGTACTTCTGAGATGGGGAGAAGAGCTCCGGGTTGTTGTTACTCATCGTCAGTAACAAGCTGCTGAGGAGCCGCACGTTGGAGTGCAGCCCCGCGGCCGCCATGTCCCGCACGTGGTCCACGACGTTCATCCTGCCCGGCGAGGCCGCGGGGCGGGCGGCAGCGGCGCCGAAAGCCCAGAGACTCTCGGGAAGGCTCCAAGATGGCGGGCCCGCTGGGGTCCTCGCGTGGCGCCGCCCCCCCCCCCCGGGGCATGGGTGTCTTCCGTGATGCCTGCGTGAAACAAGACACCGGCCCTGATCCCGGCTTCGCCCCGCTTGACAGCAGGGCGTGACTTGCAAGGTCTATTTCAAAGCAGAAATTACCTCATCAGTCTAATCAGCCCAATTCACTGACGACCTGGACTAGGGCGATGGACACGAAGCCCCTCATTAGAAATAGTTGCTCAATTAAGTCTGGGAGGAATGAGCATCCCTCAAAAAGAAACGCAAGTGTATAGATATGTTATAAATCAAGTTTAAAAGCATAAGAACAAATTAAATATGGTAAGGGACCGAGAGGCAACGATGTCAGTCTAGAGACTAAGGTGCGCCTGATCCAGGCCATGGTCTTCGCAATTGCTTGGTATGCATCAGAGAGCTGGACAATAAGGATGATAGAAGGAGAATCGATGCATTCGAATTGTGGTGCTGGAGAAGACATGGGCCGCATAGAAAACAAACAGGTCTGTCTTGCAGAGGGTGAACCAAGTTTCTCCTTGTAAGTTAGGATTTTGAAGCTCCATCTCGCATACTTTGGGCATGTGGCCAGGAGAGACCGATCCTTGGAGGACATCATGCTTGGAAGGGTGGATGGACAGCGCAGGAGACAAAGATCCCGGAGGAGATGGACTGATCTAGTGATTGGGGCAATGGCAGTGGGTGTGTCGGAGGCAATGAGCCTGGCTCAGGACAGGGCAGGGTTCAGAGCTGCTGTCACACCGGGTCGCTATGGGTCACAGGCGACTCGACAGCGCACATTGCTGAAATAAACTCTTTTAAGCAGGCGCCTGGACTTCCGGCAGTTCTCTGCTGATGTGCTGTTCTAATCGTTTTTGGATGATCTTCAGCAGAATCTTGCTTGCATGTGAAATCAGTGACACTGTTCTGTAGTTTCCACACTCAGTTGGGTCACCTTTCTTTGGAATGGGAACAAATATAGATCTCTTCCAGTCAGTTGGCCAAGTGGTTGTTCTCCAGATTTCTTGGCACAACTTGGTGAGCACATCCATGGCAACATCTGTTATCTGAAATACTTCAGTTGGTATACCAGCTATTCCTGGGGCCTTATTTTTTGCTATTTCCTTCAAAGCAGCTTGAACTTCTTCCTTCATCACCATAGGCTCTTGCTCATATGTTATTTCTTTAAATTCCTCTGTATCTGCCAATTCCTTTCTATATAATGACTCAGTATATTCCTTCCATCTTCTTTTAATACTTCCTGGGTTTAGAAGGGGTCGTGGTACTAGGGATATCGTTGCTGATGTTAGATGGATCTTGGCTGAAAGCAGGGAATACCAGAAGAATGTCTATCTGTATTTCATTGATTATGCAAAGGCATTTGATTGTGTGGATCATAACAAACTGTGGCTGACTCTGAGAAGAATGGGAATCCCAGAACATTTAATTGTGCTAATACAAAACCTATACTTGGACCAAGAGGCAGTAGCCAGAACAGAGCAGGGTAACACTGAATGGTTCAAAATTGGGAAGGGTGTACGACAGGGATGCATCCTGTCTCCATACCTTTTCAACATGTATGCAGAGCAGATTATCCGAGAGGCTGGGCTCTATGAGGAGAATTGTGGCATCAGGATTGGTGGAAGATCTATTAACAATCTCCGTTATGCAGATGACACAACCTTGCTTGCTGAAACTGAGGAGGACCTCATGCACTTGCTGCGAAGGGTCAAGGACTGCAGCCTTCAGTATGGACTAAGGCTCAATGTCAAGAAGACAAAGATTCTCGCCACTGGACCAATTAGCAGCGTCAGGATGGATGACGAAGAGGTTGAGAGTGTTCACAGCTTCAGTTTGCTCGGCTCCACAGTCAACACTCTTGGTACCAGCAGTCAGGAAATCAAAAAGCGTATCGCGATGGGAAAGTCTGCTGTTAGGGACCTCTCAAAGGTACTCAGGAGCAACAGTGTCTCTCTGGAGACTAGGTGCGCCTGATACAGGTCATGGTATTTGCAATCGCTTGTTATGCATCAGAGAGTTGGACAATGACTAGGGAGGACAGAAGGAGAGTGGATGCTTTTGAGCTGTGGTGCTGGAGAAGGGTACTGAATGTACCATGGACTGCCAGGAAAACAAACAGATTCATCTTGGAGAGGATTAAACCAAGCTACTCCTTGGAGGCAAAGATTCTGGGGCTTCGTCTGACATACTTTGGACATGTTGCCAGGAGGGACGGGTCCTCGGAGAGGGACATCATGCTTGGGAGGGTGGAGGGACAGCGCAGGAGGGGAAGACCCTCTATGAGATGGATTGATTCAGTGACTGAGGTAATCGGGATGGGTGTGTCAGAGGCGGCGCGGTTGGCGCAGGATAGAGCAGGGTTTAGAGCTGTTGCGCATAGGGTCGCTATGAGTCGGAAACGACTCGACGGCACATATCAACAACAACAAGCAGGCGCCAGGGGCAGCCCTCGGGGCTCTTGCGCTTGCGCAGTAGGCTACCGGCGCCACGCCCCCTCCTCCCTGGTATCCTTTGCAGAGACTTTGCTTCTTTGGTGATTCCGCTTTTGAGGCTAAAGGGAATGTATTATCCTGTGAAAGGACTTACCAACTAAGTGAATAAAGACTCCGTGCAAAGGTGAGCAGATACCCACAACAAACCAGCATTTGCCTAAGTTACTGTTAGGTTAGGTTAGGTTAGTGGACTTAAAGAAGAAATCAGAGAGAAGGAGAGAAAGCTTAATGCAGCTTTATTAAAGGGGGGGAAGGGAGCTCCCCGGTGAGTCCCTCATCCTAGAGAGGCAGGATGGGAAGTCACACTGTGAACTTACTGGGGAGGATTTTTATAAACAGAGTCTTTAGGGAGGGACATTCCATTCTGATTTACAAGCCACCTGCTAGCTTAGCCAGACAGGCAAGGCCATTTGCCTTCTTATCTAAAGCAGACAAGGCCATCAGCATTTGAGTTCTGAATTCTTCATTCTTCTCTTTGGCCCTCTTTGCCCAGACTAACATCTTAGACTCTTTTTAGTGATAAAACAGGGCGAGGTATCTTTCTTTGGGCTACTTCCTGCTGAACAGGGGCGACGATCTGGGGGTTCACAGCCTGGAGTGAGTCAGTTACCAGTGCTCACAAACCAACTTTTAAGGTTCTAGTTGTCACTGATTTTTTTTTAACAGTGATAGAACCCGAGGCTGCCTGCTTGAAATTTTGTGCCAAGGTTTTTAACGGCTGATGGGGAATCAGCCATACTGATGGAGAGGCGAAGAGTCAGTGAGGTGGGCTGATCTAGTGGCTGCAAGGATCTGATGGCACGAAGACTCAGCAGTGTTTAATTCTGTTGTAGTTAAGGTCGCTAAGTGGGAAGTGACTAGAGAGAAGGAACAAGAATATGCAGTACAACAACGAGAGAATTTTTTTTTCTCAAAGAGAAAAGTGAACTGAAGGGCAGGGGGCCTGGAGGAAAATGTGCAATAATGAATGAATGGAAATCCAAGTTCTCTATAAACTTTCATTAAAATCCCAGTTAGAAAAAAAAAATCTAAAAATGATTTTTTAAAAAAATATGCTCAGGTCAGAACTGTCACCGCTCTGATGCTTCCAGTAACGTGCTTTCTTGTGCACGTGTGACAAGCATGCACTTGTGTGCATTGGCAGTGGCTTTATAGTTGATTTTGTCATATTTCCTGGCATTTTAACTACAGTATTGTTGTTATTTGTGGACCTGCATCAATCTTTTTTGAGAATGAAGGAGAAAACAATTTTTTAAATTTTTTTTTATTTTGTTATTTTGTGTGTTTGTAGGATCCGACTGGTACATGAGGAGATTGTCCCTTCGAACCGCATGCCTCGGATTGCAGTGCAGCTTCTTGCCACTAGGCCACCAGAGCTCGCCTGAATACAATTTTTTTTTAACAAACACCAAGAGAACCTTCAACTCAGTTACTAAATAAAGGTAATAATATTGTAATTCAGTGTAGAAAGAGTTTGTAAAATAGTTTTGTTCTATTATAATCTGAGAAATAACTTATTTTAAGCAATTTAACAGCTGTGTTTACCACATACCGTTTATGATTAAGGCAGGCAGGCTAACCCTCAATGAGAGGGATTGACAGAGTGATTGTAACAGTGGGTTCAAGGATGGGAAGAGATCATGTGGATGGATGGGATGGGGAAGGTTCTGCTCTGTTGTACGTGGGGTCACTGAGTCAGAGTAGACATCATTCTATGATTAAAATTGCTGGTAAACATTATTAAATGTCTTTAATGAGTCTGCATGGTCTGCTATGGAAGGAGGTCCATGGTGGGGGGTGACGCCATTGCTCCTGAGCACATCAAATCTGAAGGGCAGCTGACCACTAACCTGGAAACACGAAGCAGGCAAACTGCAGATCAGAAGGTAGGAACTGATCCGAGACTTCCCAGAGGTTAGGGATCAGGGGTCAATGGCCTGAGAGAGGCCATCTGACTACTTCTAGTTTTGAGGACAGAAAAGTGGTCACAGCCCAAGGTTAACACTTGAAGAGGCCAGACATGCCTCCCCTTGCCAACCTCTTTACCAATTCTGCTACCAGCTGTCCCTCCCACAGCCCTCAGTACTTCCTTACAATCACCACAGAATTCAGACTGTTAGTAATTATGCGCTGCAATCTCAAAGGCACGCAGTTCAGCTGCTTCGCGGAAGAAGGACGAGTGGTCTCCTCCTGTGCCATGTACTGTCTCTGAAAACCTGCTGGAGGGACAGCCATGAGTTGGTTCTGACTTGGTGCACAACAGCATCATCATGGGAAGTACCAAGTTACAAGTCAAGAAAGACCAGGATACAGTTCAGTCAGGGCAGCTTCTTCACAGATGGGCCACCTAGGGGCCTCCTGGCCCTCTGCCCCTTGAGTTGGTCTGGCCTCTGCCTACTT